ATTTTGCTGTGAATTCATCTGGTTCAGGGTTTTTTTTTGGTTGGTAGGTTTTTTTCTTACTGATTTGACTTTGGAGCTTATTATATGTATGTTCAAGGTTTTGATTTCTTCCTGATTTATTCTTGGGAGATTGTGTGTTTGCAGGTATTTATTCTTTCCCTTTAGATTTTCTAGCTTGTGCACATAGATGTGTTCATGATAGTTGCAGAGGATCTTTTGCATTTCGGTGGGATTGGTTATAATGTCACCTTTGTCATTTCTGATTTTATTTGGATCTTCTCTCTTTTTTCTTTGTTAATCTGAAGCAGTCTTTCAATCTTGTTTATTCTTTAAAAAGCCAACTTTTTGTTTCATTGATCCTTTCTATGGTTTTTTTGGTCTTAATTGCATTAATTCTGCTCTGAGTTTAGTTATTTACTTTCTTTTGCCACCTTTGGGATTAGTTTATTCTTGTTTTTCTAGTTCCTTTAGGTGTGATGTTAGATTGTTAATTTGAGATCTTTCTATCTTGATGTTGGTTTTTAGCACTATAAACTTTCCTCTTAACACTGCTTTTGCCACATCTCAGAGGTTTTGTAGTGTTGTGTCTCTATTTTCATTTGCTTCTGTCAGTGGGATACCCCAGTATTATTGTGTGAGTGTCTAAGTCTTTTTGGAAGTCTAAAAGTACTTATTTCATAAAGCTGGGTGCTTCAGTGTTGGGTGCATACATATTTAGGATAGCTAAATCTTGTTGAATTGAACCCTTTATCATTATGTAATGCCCTTCTTTATTCTTTTTTAACGGTTGTTTTAAAGTCTGTTTTATCTGACACAAGAATAGTAACCCCTGCTCCTTTTTGTTTTTCATTTGTGTGATAGATCTTTTTCCCTCCCTTTACTTTGACCCTGTGGGTATCAATACATGTGACACGAATCAGGCAGCAGAAAGACGGGCGTTTTTCTAAATTCAATTTCACACTCTGTGTCTTTTAAGTGGAGCATTTAAGTTGTTTACATTCAGAGTTAATATTAATATGTGAGATTTTGTTTGTCATACTGCTGTTATTTACTTGATTTGTAGTTTTGCTTATGTAGTTGCTTTATACATGGGTCCCGGATCCATGGGCTATGTGCCTATGTGTGTTCTTATGGTAGTGAGTATCATTCTTTCATTTTCATGTTTAGAACTTCCTTAAGCATCTCTTATAGGGTGGTGATAAATTCACTTAGCAATTACTTGTCTGGGAAGGATTCTATTTCTCCTTTGTTGAGTAAGACCTGAAAAGCACAGGCAGCCAAAGCAAAAATAGTTTTACTTTTTTTACCCAAGATGGTGGATTAGAGGCTTTTAGGGTGCCTCAGCCACTTGGAAATAGCAAAATAGTGCATAAAGATAAACTCTGGGAGAAAAATGGGAATTCATCAGTAAAGTGAAGGACACCCTAGGCCCTGAGGAGAAAGTGGTTAAGCAGCCCCTATGATGGCTTCAGCTGATAAAGTGAGTGAAGCTGAAGCTTTTTGATGAGGTGAGGCTTTTTAATTTTTTATTCTTTTTTTCCTTTGAAGGTATGACTGTGGTATATGTTGTATATGACAGGCTTCATTTCTGGATGCTTTCAGAGGGTCAGGGCTCTGTATAGTTTCCTTGGTTGCAGACAGATTTGTACAGTGACTTTCTCAAACGTCGCTTGATGTAGCAATGTATTTTTGTTTGGTGGTATAATTCAAGCTGCAGACCAATAGATAGTGCTTGAGAGTAAAGCCACCAGGAGGTTCTTACTCTGCATGCTCACCCTTGGTGGGACAGAGGAAACAGAAAAGGGTGAAAAACGTCCTTCCCCAGTGTAACTGGTCTTTGATGGGAGTAGAGCCCCTGGAGAAGCCTGAGAAGTACCTCTTTCAGCCCATGCTCCCCGGGCCGCAATAGAAAGAGTTGCTGCCACATCTGTAGCAGTGCACTGGTGATGGGGGCAGGGTGCAAGAGATAACCCCTTTTCCAAGTCTCCAAGAGCTTTGCTGTTGCCCCCTTCAGTGGCTGACACCGCACTTTCATTTCCTTTAATCCAAGGGAGGCTTTGGTGGGCTGCATTTTCCCCTCCCTGAAGGGTGGTCCATCCCAAGAGTTGGATGTCCAGGCGAGTAGGGGTCCACCTCCCTCTCTCCCCTTGGAATACGTGGGGCACTTTCTCCCAAACTGACCAAGGGAGCATACTAAGGCACTCAGTAATGACACACATATACTGGTTCCAGGTCACAAATCTATCCCTGGCTGCAAGTCATCCTACCCAGGAGAAACCTTCGCTTCAGCAATTCTCCTCCCACTCCAGTCCTGCAATGGAAGAGAACCTAATTTCAGTACTTACTGCTGGGGTGCTCCCACACTCACTGCTCAATTCTGGCTGTGGGGTTTCTTCCCCTACTCCAGAGCAAGCACAGCTGTAATTGTGGGGGTCTTTCCCCTACTCCAGAGCAATCTCTCTAGCCTGAGACTAAAATGTCTGCAGTGGCTGCTGTTGCCAGGTCGCCAACGACTTTGTATGAGCCCAGATTAAAAATGGCGTCTTCCTTTCAGTCCTAGGTCTGGGAAAATGTCTGCAGCTTTTTCCAGTGTCTTTCCCTCTCTCTATCTCTCAGCCTCTCTCCAAGCTCACTCTTGAGCTTGGAGGAAACAGGGTGCTCTCTCTTGACCTGGGTTGCGCAGATCACTAGCAGAAAGGTAAGAAATAGAGGGAGATTGGGATTGGCTGCCTCGCGCATGTACTGGGCTTCACTCACTTTATCAGCTGAATGCCATCATGGGGGCTGCTTAATCTTCTCCTCCTCAGGGTCTGGGGTGTCCTTCACTATTCTGATGAATTTCCATTTTCTTCCCAGAGTTTATTATTATTATTACTACTATTATTATTTTTCTTCTGAGATGGAGTCTTGCTCTGTCGCCCAGGCTGGACTGCAGTGGCACGATCTCTGCTTATTGCAACCTTCGCCTCCCAGGTTCAGGCAATTCTCCTGCCTCAGCCTCCCCAGTAGCTGGGACTACAGGCATGCGCTACCACACCTGGCTAATTTTTGTGTTTTTAATGGAGACGGGGTTTCACCATGTTGGCCAGGCTGGTCTCAAACTCCTGACCTCAAGTGATCTGCCCGCCTCAGCCTCCCAAGGTGCTGGGATTACAGGCGTGAGCCACTGCACCTGGCACTGAGTTTCTCTTTATGCACTATTTTACTATTTCCAAATGGCTGAGGCATACTGAAAGTCTGTAATCCATCATCTTGGGTAAAAAAAGTAAAACTGACTGGGCGCGGTGGCTCACGCCTGTAATTCCAGCACATTGGGAGGCTGAGAAGAGTGGATCACCTGAGGTCGGGAGTTCGAGACCAGTCTGACCAAAATGGAGAAACCCCATCTCTACTAAAAATACAAAAAATTAGCCAGGTGTGGTGGCACATGCCTGTAATCCCAGCTACTCGAGAAGCTGAGGCAGGAGAATTGCTGAAACCCGGGAGGCGGAGGTTGTGGTGAGCCAAGATAACGCCATTGCACTCCAGCCTGAGCAACAAGAGTGAAACTCTGTCCCGCTCCCCCCTCCAAAAAAAAAAAGGTAAAACTATTTTTGCTTTGGTTACCTGTACTTTTGAGGTTATACTCATGAAATTTTTGCCCAGACCAATGTCCTGGAGTGCTTCCCCAATGTTTTCTTCTGGTAGTTTCATGTCTTAGAATTGAGTCTTTAAGCCAGGTGCGGTTGCTAAAGCCTGTAATCCCAGTTCTTTGGGAGGCTGAGGTGGGCGGATCACTTGAAGTCAGGAGTTTGAGACTAGCCTGGCCAACATGGTGAAACCCCATCTCTACCAAAAATACAAAAATTAATCGGGCTTGGTGGCAGGCACCTGTAATCCCAGTTACTCAGGCGGCTGAGGCAGGAAAATAGCTTGAACCCTGGAGGTGGAGGTTGCAATGAGCCAAAATCACACCAACTGCACTCCAGCCTGGGCAACAGAGTGAGACTGTCTCAAAAAAAAAAAAGAAGTCTTTAATCCATTTTGATTTTTGATTAGATTTTTGTATGTGGCAAAAGATAGGGTCCTAGTTTCATGCTGCACATGAATATCCAGTTTTCCCAGTACCATTTATTGAAGAGTTTGTTCTTTTCCCAATGTATGTTCTTGGCACCTTTGTCAAAAATGCGGTAAACGTAAGTTCATAAAAGAATGAAATCATATCCTTTGCAGCAACATGGATGAAGCTGGAGGCCATAATCCTAAGCGAATTAACGTACGAACAGAAAACAAAATATCACATGTTCTTGAAAGTGGGAGCTATTAAATCAAGTTTAGCCAAAGGCTGCCTCCTTACATATTTTAAGTTCAGCCTAAAGATTTCTCTGTATATTGTGAACTATAACAAGTGGAGGTGTAAACAGATGGTAGTCTACACTTGTACCAATCACTGAGTTTTGGCCAATCAAATGTAGTCAACTGTCCAAACTGTGTTCAAATAAGGCAAACGCCGAACTGTAACCAATCTAGTTGCTTCTGTACCTCTCTTCCATTTTCTGTTATCACTTTCCTTTTTCTGTCAATAAATCTTCTTCTACCATGGGGCTGCACCTGAGTCTCAGAGCCTACTTTGGCTCAGGAGGCTGCCCGATTCAGGAATCGTTCATTGCTCAATTAAACTAATTTAAGTATAATTTGGCTGAAGTTTTTCTTTTAACAGAGCTACACATTGAATACCCATAGACATAAACATGGGAACAGTAGACACTGCAGACTCCTAGAGAGGGGAGGAAGAAGGGCATGGGTCAAAAATCTACCTGTTGGGTATTGCTTATTACCTGAGTGCAATATACCCTTCTAAAAAACCTGTACCTGTACCCCCAATATCTAAAATAAAAGTTGAGAAAAAATGAATTCAGTTGTAAATGTGTGGATTTATTTCTGGATTCTCTGTTCTGTTCCATTGTTCTATTTACTTCTGGGTTCTCTGTTCTGTTCCAAACCAGCCTTGGTACTGGTTTTTAATGCCAATAACAAGGCTGTGTGATTATCATCCCCTCTTATCTCTCATTCTCTTTCCCTCTAGACAAAGAGCTTCCTGAGAGTCCTTCATTACTTTCTTTGAGTTCCCAGCACCTGGCACAGTCACTGGGACATGATAAGTGCTCAAAAATATTTGAGGAATTATACTGAAATTAAGAACTATTGGACTTCTTCTCCAAGAAAACACCAAATGGCGAATGACGCTGGTGCGGGGGGGAGCCCAGAGGCCCTGGTGGCCCTGGGATGGGGAACAGCGGTGGCTTCTGTGGAGGTTTCGGCAGTGGCATCCGGGGCCTGGGTCGCAGAGCTCACGGAGGCAAGGCCGAGGATAAGGAGTGGATGCCTGTCACCAAGCTGAGCCCCTTGGTCAAGGACATGAAGATCAAGTCCCTTGAGAATATCTCTTTCTTCTCCCTGCCCATTAAGGAATCTGAGATCATTGACTTTTTCCTGGGGGCCTCTCTCAAGGACGAAGTTTTGAAGATTATACCGCTGCAGAAGCAGACCCGTGCTGGCCAGCGCACCAGGTTCAAGGCTTTTGTTGCTATGGGGGACTACAATGGCCACGTCGGTCTGGGTGTTAAGTGCTCCAAGGAGGTGGCCACCGCCATCCGTGGGGCCATCATCCTGGCCAAGCTCTCCATTGTCCCCATGCAGAGGCTACTGGGGGAACAAGATCGGCAAGCCCCACACCGTCCCTTGCAAGGTGACAGGCCGCTGTGGCTCTGTGCTGGTGCGCCTCATCCCTGCACCCAGGGGCACTGGCGTCGTCTCAGCGCCTGTGCCCGAGAAGCTGATCATGATGGCTGGTATCGATGACTGCTACACCTCAGCCCGGAGCTGCACTACTACCCTGGGCAACTTCGCCAAGGCCACCTTTGATGCCATCTTTAAGACCTACAGCTACCTGACCCCTGACCTCTGGAAGAAGACTGTATTTACCAAGTCTCCCTATCAGGAATTCACTGAACACCTCGTCAAGACCCACAGCAGAGTCTCCGTGCAGCGGACCCAGGCTCCACCTGTGGCTACAACATAGGGTTTTTATACAAGAAAAATAAAGTGAATTAAGCCTGAAAAAAAAAAAAAAGAAAGAAATATTGGAGAATCTACAGACAGCAGCCAAGAAAGATGAAAACGGCATTCACAAAGAAAGAAAAAGAAAAGCTGGCACACTGTTTAGCCTAAAGAAAATAATGAGGCATTTACCAGTCTTCAAAGAGATTTGATAATGAATTTTTAACCAAAAGATGCTAAGTTTGAAGGAGTCGTTTTTACATATAAGTGCACTTTATGCATGCTATCCCTTAATCTGAAAGAATAGGAAAGAGGGGACGGGCAGGAGGGAAGAGGGAAGAGGGGAGAGAGAGAGAGAGAGAGAGAGAGAGAGAGAGAGAGAAATTAAACTACCCTGGGTTACACGCAGATTTCTCCATAGCATCTTTCAGTGGCAGAAAATAGTGGTGTGATGTCTACACCATTCTGAGGAAAATAATGACCCTAAAGTGTGATCCTAAAATGCTATGTCCAGTCGAGTTGTCCTTTTAACTGTAAAGCTCAAAGACAGCCATTCTTAAATATATGAACACTCAAGAAATACAATACTCATAAATCTTCCTTGACAGAATTTTGGCCACAAAATCCAGATAACCAAGAAGTGAATAAAAATATTTAGAAATTGAGAAGAAATGGTAAAAGACTGATAGTGAGGACCGAATCGATTTCAATGTAAAATGGAGACTGAATAATTATGGAAGTTAAGGTAATAGAACAGAATATAAATGTTATTAGAACTAAAAAAAATAAAAATCTAAAGGTGGGAGAAAGAAGGTTAGAAGCCATGAGCAGGCTAATTTCCTTATCTATAGCAGAAAGTCAATAGATACTATCTAAAGTTGAAATGCATAATTATAAAATGATTCCAGAGGAGGCAAAGTTGCTGTCCAGTTAGTTTCCCTGTCTACTCAAAGGACTAAACTAGAGAGTGGACTTTGCCACTAAGTTCAATTATATATTTAAGAACTATCTTCTTGAAATCAAAATTGATTGAGGACTATCCTTTCCCTAAAATTAAAAGAGGCAACAATCTCCACATTAGATGTTTTAAAGGTTGGGTAACCAACTATCTGTCTGCAGTTTAGAAATGAGTGCAGAGAGATATTAGTGTCCTTATAAGCTGCAAATTTCTGGTGTCAGAAAGAAGGCTGAAGCCTACCACCCACTAGCCCTAGGCTCTGGTGTTCATCTCACTATTATCAAACCACCAATGACAGCAAACTAAAATGAAAAAGAATGGAACCAGCCAGCCAGTACAATCTTAGTGCTTAGGCAAGGAGATGCAAGAGAGACCAGGACAATGAGCTCAGACCCATCTCCAGATCCTCAGGGTTAAGATCCAAAGAGAGAGAGCAAGGGAGAGAGACTGGTAAATGGGATAGCAGTCTTTATAGATAGTAGCCTCTCTGCTTGAGGAAGAAGGCATAAGGATCCGAACATAAATTCCTAGGGGCCTAGTTCTGTAATTTTTGTCCAGCAGCAATACGGACAGTGAATGAGACAAAGCAAGAGGAAGAAAAATGATAGCCCAGTCTTATCACGTATGCACACAATCTCTTTGTACACTTGCAGTCTCTCACACAGATGCCTTGAGTATCCTGTGCCCTTTGCCTTCATAGTTAGAGAACACCCCTTACCTGTCTGCCACCTGTTGTTTCTTCTTCCCTGTTTCTGGTTATCTCCATAACTGGAGTCTCTCCTCAGACAAAAACAAAACCCATCTATCTTTCTCTCGGTTTCAACAGGCAATCCCTAATTTGCCATTGCCATGAAAACTTTGGGGTACTGGGGAGAAGGAAAAGAAGGAGAAGCAGGCTTTGTTTGGCTAGTGATTGTCAAACCTTGGTGCAGAAAAGGACTTCTGGGAAAAGAGTTAGCAGAGAGAGCACAAGACAAGAGAAAAAGAAAAGAAAGAAACTTTCTGGGCATGTTGCTTTGGCTGAAGAATGTGTCAGAAAAAGAAGGAAAATCTGAGTTTGCCATTGTCAGCACCCTGACTCCTAGAATGTTGTCTTAGGTCGCCTCTGAGCACTTTACTCAGTGTCTTTCCACTCAAGCATTAATTTGGCTGTAGTAACTGGAGCAAAATCCCTGTGTCTCAATGCCCGATTTCTTCATCAGTGGAAGGAGGACATATGAAATGGTAAAGTTTCTTAAAACAATCTAGAGAGATGCAGGGGATCACAGTATTATATGTGAAGTTCCTTGCCCAATGAAATACCATCTCACACCAGTTAGAATGGCAATCATTAAAAAGTCAGGAAACAACAGGTGCTGGAGAGGATGTGGAGAAATACGAACACTTTTACACTGTTGGTGGGATTGTAAACTAGTTCAACCATTGTGGAAAACAGTATGGTGATTCCTCAAGGATCTAGAACTAGAAATACCATATGACCCAGCCATCCCATTACTGGGTATATACCCAAAGGATTATAAATCGTGCTGCTATAAAGACACATGCACACGTATGCTTATTGCTGCACTATTCACAATAGCAAAGACTTGGAATCAAACCAAATGTCCATCAGTGACAGACTGGATTGAGAAAATGTGGCACATATACACCATGGAATACTATGCAGCCATAAAAAAGGATGAGTTTGTGTCCTTTGTAGGGACATGGATGCAGCTGGAGACCATCATTTTCAGCAAACTATCACAAGAACAGAAAACCAAACACCACATGTTCTCACTCATAGGTGGGAACTGAACAATGAGATCACTTGGACTCGGGAAGGGGAACATCACACACTGTGGCCTATTATTGTGATTATTTACTCTAAATAATTCTTATATCTTAGAGATATGCTCTGAAATATTTACTGATAAAATGACATGATGTCTTGAATTTGGTTCAACATAAGGAATTAAAGTCAGATTGGTCTTGGTTTGACAATTGTTGAAGCTGAATGATGGGTAAAAGTGAGTTTGTTATACTACTCTCTCTACTTTTGCATGTTCTTAAAATTTTCCATTATAAATATGTTAAAAATACTTTTGTGAACTCCTACTAGGTGACAGGTGCAGAGGATGCAACAGCAGGTTTTGATAATAAAATAATTCAAATTTATTTGATTTCTTCTTACCTAGCCACTTTTCTCTTGTGCTCTGCTATAGATGAAATACTTCATTTCACAGAAAGAGAGTCCTATCCCAGTTTACATGGTTGGCTTGAGTCCTCAGCTATGTAATGGGCTCAAGAAAAATTATTGTTCTAGGCCGGGCGCGGTGGCTCAAGCCTGTAATCCCAGCACTTTGGGAGACCGAGACGGGTGGATCACGAGGTCAGGAGATCGAGACCATCCTGGCTAACCCGGTGAAACCCCGTCTCTACTAAAAAAAAATACAAAAAACTAGCCGGGTGAGGTGGCGGGCGCCTGTAGTCCCAGCTACTCGGGAGGCTGAGGCAGGAGAATGGCGTAAACCCGGGAGGCGGAGCTTGCAGTGAGCTGAGATCCGGCCACTGCACTCCAGCCTAGGCGGCAGAGCGAGACTCCGTCTCAAAAAAAAAAAAAAAAAAAAAAAAAAAAAAGAAAAATTATTGTTCTAGATTATCTGGCATTTTCTCTGCTAAATTGGGAGCAACACTCTTATATAATTTTTCTACATTTCTTTTCCAATTATAAGTACAAATATAGGAATTTTGACTAGAATTTTACTAAAGTTAACATTAGAGATTGTACAACATTATACAATTTGATCTTATATCCAGAAATACGGGTATTTTCACTCATTTTACAAAAAGCATCTTCCAGATTCTTTATGATATGGAGTTATGATTTGTTAACTGATTTTAACTTAAATTCCATATTGTTACAAACACAAACTGAAGTGGCTTCAATTTTATGGTATTAAAACATATTTAAAGCAAACATGGAAATTGAAAAGTATTAGGTTGGAACCAAATAATCATAAAGGTACCTAGGATTATAACAAAAATTAAACATTATATTTAACTCTGAGATTCCTAGGAGAAAAGACAAAAAGGGAAACTGTACATTATATAGTTCTCATAGTTTAATAGAAAGAATGCATTTTTTTGGTAGGTAGTTCCTTTTAGAAATAACAAAATAGAAAATGAGTTCAACCACTGCTTTATAGAAAATAGGGAAATGTTCTTCAATTGAGCATTTCTTTTCCTCACATTAATAAACTCTGCACACACCTCCTATGTTAATAGGAAATAGGAATTCCAGATAAAAAATGTGGAAAGTTGAAATAATCCTGACAAATTTTTCAAATCAATTGTTGAAAATCTTTATTTAGAAAAAAATCTTTAGTTGGAAAACAGCAGAAACCAAAGAAAAACACACTTCATGTAAACAACAGAACACTATGCTAAGTTTAGTTCTACAATAAAAGCCACACAAATCTGTGTGTGGCCAAGGATGAGGATACAGAGAAAAGAAAAAGAAAATTGAGAGAGAGGTAGAAGATAACTCTTTGCTTACTGCAGGTCTTGTCACCTCTGGAAAATAATAAGTTAGGATGGCCCTAGTCTACTAGCATGCCAGAGGTAGAACCAATATAATCTCCTAAAATATGAGATTTGTGTCAATTCTTAGGGTAACTCACTAAGGTGGTTTGGTTCCACCAATGAATAAAGTTTCTAATTCTACACTAAGCTCATCCTTTGGAACATCAATCTCATCTCCAGATTCTTCCCCAAGCTTCTTCCACCAGGGTGCTTGTATGTGCTTCAGGGTTGTGAGATGGGCCTGCTTGGCCTTGGCTGCCACAGGCCTGGATCTACTTAGGAAGAGCTCAGGTTCTTTGCCTTCTGCCTCCTTTAGACTTGGTGCCTCTGTAGTGGACAGAAAATAAATAGATGAGAACAAGAGTCCTATGCCAGGCAGGTAGGAACTTGGAAGCTACAGAGCTGTAACCCTGCAGGCAGAAACAGCATTCCAACTCTGAATGTATTACTTTTGAGACAGGGTCTCGCTCTATTGCCTAAGCTGGAGTGCAGTAGCATGATCACGGTTCACTGCAGCCTCAACCTCCTGGGCTCAAGTGATTCTCCCACCTCAG